GCGATTAAAAACTACATGAAATCATAAAACACTGGGAAAAAACTGTCGCAGCTTTGCTTGAATAATATTTTAATACAATATACTTTACCTTAGTTTTCCTCTCAACTTGACACAGATCTGACATATGTCTTGGTTGTTTTAAGCTATATTATGTACCTACTCCAAATGTCTTTATTTATTCATTGTTTAAATACTTAATCAGAGTGTATTCTTATTATAATATTTAGATGTCCTTTTTGGTGGGCAACTCCAAATGGAATAGTTATCTTCCATCTACTAAAGTGATGTGATGTTTTAATTTATATGATAAAAGTATTTTGGTTATAATTAAAAGTAGTCTGGTTTAGTGATTTTATGATAAGTAGTCTGGATGGTTTCAGGTGGTGGTTCTTGACGTTTCACTTATATTTTTAAAGTTCATATTAAGTGTGTTTTTGCTTATAGTATAAATTATTAGGAATAAATCGTTCGTATTTCCTTAATTTCATTACCTTGTGAGATTTCACTTGTTCAATGTTTTGGTTAACAGGGTATCTTTCTTAATGCAAATAAAACTGTCGCAAACTGTAGAGTTTGGTTGTTTGTTTGCATTTCTCGTTGTACCACCAGTGCGCCGCTGGCAGTACACATGGTTTTAGTCTCGACTCCTATAATCCGCCGTATCCGCCGCCATGTAACCATTACCACTTCTTCTAGTCTACAAGAGCCTGCGTACCCAACTCTTGGATTTAGGTCACATAAACTCAACTCGACCCACGTGAATTTAGGGCTTTGTTGGTGCACCGGTCTAAGTGTGGCGGTCGTCGCAATGCATCCTTGTCAAAATTAAATGCTAAATATCCAGAAGGAATTATGGGGATAATTACTATATATGTTTGACCAAAGTAATATGTGGAGATTCCAATCATGCCCTTGGGTTTGACCTTTGACCTTTATTTCAAGGTCAAACGGACCAAACATTTCTTAAATTGGGAATTTCTGCAAAAAAAAGTGCCGATTTTCAGTTAGGGTCATCTTTCATCTTCGTGAGCTTGGGGTCAATCTGTGCATTATCAAGGGAGAAGCAGCCGAAACTGAAAATTCTCACTCTAATTTTGGAACCGTGAATACTAGAGACATGTTGTTTATTGCATTTTGTAGAGCTTCCAAGTGCAATACTGGGGGTGCTGTCCTTTTTTTTCATACGATTTACGAGCTGCATTATATATAAAAATACAACGTGGCAGTATTCAGGGGTGAAAATAAAATGTGAAATACTTGAAAATTAGCAGAGCTACTATTGAACCTGAATAGGAAGTAGTATGCCGGCAATCTAGCTGTGACCTTGAAATTGACCTTTAACCTATTTTTCACCAATAACAGCACATGCAAATCTTTTGGCTCTTCCATCTCCAAAATGGACAGAGGTACGCCCATAGTTACTATAGAACTTGCATAAAAAGTCATGTACTGGTAATCTAACTGACCTTAAAATTGACCTTTTACCTATTTTTCACCATGAACTGCACTTAGCAAATTTCCCAGCCTAGCATTTCCAAAACTGGCAATGATAGGCCCATAATTACTATTGAACTTGAATAGGAAGTCATATACTGGCAATCCAACTGTGACCTTTGAATTGACATTTGGCCAATTTTTCACCATAAACTGCACTTTGCAAATCTTTTCGGCCCTTTCATCTCCAAAACTGGCAGAGATACGCACATAGTTACTATTGAACTTGAATAGGAAGCTATACACTGGTAAATTGACCTATGCTCTACTTTTCATAATGAACTGCATTTTGCAAATTTTCCTAGCCCTATATCTCCAAAACTTGCGGGGATGCACCCATAGTTGCTGTGAACTACAATGGGAAGTCATACACCGGCAATCTAATGGTGACCTTGAAATTGACCTTGGGCCCATTTTTCACCATGAACTGCAATTCGCAAAGTTCCCAGCCCTTGTATTTCCATAACTGCCAGAGATGGGCCCATAAATTCTCTTTTTTTTATTTGAATAGGAAGTCATATACTGGCAATACTGTGACCTTGAAATTGAGCTTTGACCAATATATATATATATTTTACCATAAACTGCAATTTGCAAATATTTCGACCCTTTTAGCTCCAAAACTGGCAGAGATGCGCCCATAGTTACTGCTTAACTTGAATACGAAGTCATGCACTGGCGAATTGACCTTTGACCCACATTTTCATGATGAACTGCATTTTGCAAATGTTCCAATCCTTGTGTTACAAAAACTGGCAGAGATACGTCCAAAGTTACTATTGAACTTGAATAGAAAGTCATATACTGGGAATCTTGCAATGACCTTGAATTTGACCTATGACCTACTTTTCACCACGAACCACACTTTGCAACTTTCCAAACTCTCATTAAACAGATTGAATCTCGGCTCCGAGGTTTGATTGCTAGACCCCTGTAGCGACGGCGCGTGTGGTGGCGTGTTTTCATAAAAATACGGACTTTAGGCATGACTTGGGATTGGGTGTCTTTTTTTTTTCATATTACACGCTTGCTTAGATGTTGTTCAATACAATAACAGTATATCAATGCAGTGACTGTACTTAGTAAATTAGCAATATTATACCAGCTCTTAAGTTTCACCCTTCTTATTTCTTGAAATAAAAGGGATAATATCTTCATATGAGATCTATATTTTACAAAAAAAAAAAAAAATTGGGAACAACTAATAGATATATAATATATTCTGTTGTATCAACAGAGACGGCAGTTATAGTTATTATTCTGATATCTGAGCTTGTCTTAAGACCACGTGACCTCCATTGATGGCTGTACTCTCTTATGATCTTAACTGATTATAACAAAATAACAAACTTTTAAGAAAAAAAAAAACAGGGACTAACTTTGAATGTAAAAACAGATTCATTATCCATTGGTTAGTATGGGGAAATTGTTTACTCCAGGAAATTTCATTTTTTGGCCAAAACGAAGAGTTATTATCCCTTTAATTTAAAAATTGCAAGTGAAATATTGAAGTATATTTAACGGTATTGTCAGCCTTCTCTCAAAACTTAGTAGTTAATAAATAAATCCTTAGTGTCCAATGATTAAATTAATTAATATTTACACATATGCGATTTAAAGGGTGACGTCATAATTGCGATTTTGGGGTGAAACCTGAAAAATCGGTTTCTCAAATTTTTCCTTTAGCTGTGAACCCATGATCATATTTTTATCGCCGATTTAATGACACCAAATAGTACTCCAAAACCCTGCCACCGATTTTTCTTTATAGTCTTAGTTCAGACTTTATGGTTGATAAATTAAAATAATGCCTTTTGTTTAATGAAAATCTGTAATTAGGGATTGGGATTGTAGCGTATACACTAGTGATCAACTCTGCCAATTTTCGTGATAAAATCTTGTTCAGGGATGAAGTTACGCCAATACCGATTGCTATCTTACTTCAAAATAGAAAGGTGTTAAATTGACAATTAAAGCTTCGAGTTGCCTATGCTAATACATTGCAAAAATAAATAAAAACGCCGATTTTTTATATTTTCTAGTTTTTTTATTGTTTTGAATCAGCACAAAGACAGGTGCATTATTTAATAATTTGCTGCAGGAAAAATCTAATTTTCGGTATATCGATGGTAATAAAGGGTCACAATATCCTTAAGCTCGTATTTTTCACGCGAGTAACACAGCTGAAATGTGCACTAATCACATTATGTGTTCCACTTCCCCTACCTTAATGTTCCTTGCTAAACCCATTCGGGGCTCTAAATTGTTTTCGACAACTGTCAAAGCAGAATGGAGAAAGATTAACATAGATTCAGTCTAACAAGAAAGTAACGCGTGATTTTATTGTCTCAGAAGTGCTTTTTTATGACTAATACTATACAAATCTCTAAGAGTTTTTTTTTTTTTTTTTTTTTTTTTTTTTTTTGCTAAGTTGTAACCGCGATAATTTACATAATATGACTTCACATATGCCGAACTGCAGCAAACTGTCAATATAATTATAACTCACAAACTCTTTTTTGTGCACTTATTTATTTATCTATATCTAACATATGTGGGCTTACATGACAAATGTACAGTGGTAAATCTCAGAAAGGTCGACTGGCTTAATCGTTCTAAAATCCTCCAGTGTCTTATAGAACAAAAAAAATAATAATAAAAAAAAAAGAAAAAAAAAAAGAATGTACCTAGCAAGTTAATAGCCAAGAGCCTAAATGAAAATATCTTGTGACATAATTATTTTTTTCTGTGGCCCTGGTAGGGGTAAAATAGGTGAGTGTCTGCTAAGATTTAACTGTGCATGCGTGTTGGGACATTAATAATACGATGTACGTGCCTTAGGGTGCTTTCCCAGAGATTTAGATCGATCTAAAGATTAAGTTTTAGATCGACCTAACTCCCTGGGGGTTAAGGCTAAATTGCAGTCAGCCGAGCGGACATCATAGTTAATCACCCCCTTAGAGCTTTTAGTAGGCGGGACAGACGCTTAAGCCGGCCAAGCTGACAGTAATCTAGTGAGACTCCCCACAGGGATAGATCGATCTAAAAATCTATGGAAATGGGGTGTTAGAGACCAAAAATGTGCAGACCACATGTTAGTAATTCTTGGTGTACATAGCCTGCCGTATAAAATATTTTATAATGAATACACATGCATTATATTGAATACCCCTTATGCCCATTCCGTAGCAACTTCTCAAAAGAATACGTGAGCATTTTTTCGTGGTTGTTAGGGGCTTAAAACTTTCTTTCTCTCCGCTTTTGGTTTAAAAATTTGTTTGATTTCTTCGTGTTTATTGTGAACTGCTGGGGTATTATAATTCAATTTTGGACGATTTTTTTTCTAAGAATAACAGTTGACTTTGGTACAAACACAACGTGGTATCAAACCATACACGAAATGAAATATAAGGCAGTCAGACAGACACAAAGGTTTTCATCGGCTCTCCCTAAATACATTATCAGCAGACCATAGCGCATAAACTCAAAATTAAGAACATCACTGACTTTAAGGAAAGTCAGGACAGTTAGTATGGCTGCCTTAGTACTAGTAATTTTCTTTGCTATGACAGTCTCCGTCGTAGACGGGATAGTTGGATACCCAAAATCAGACCAACCGGGGGAGTTCATCCCAGGTACGACCGCCTTAATTTGGAGGTGGGACAGGCGACGAGGATGGTACTGGTATCCCACAATGCCTATATCATCAAACCTGAATGAAACCAAGGTAGGTAAATGCCGTTAAAGATGTTCATACATGTAAATACCTAGAGCACTTTATACGCTAAAATGCCTTTTTTAAGATATAGATCTGCGCGTTGCAAAAAAAAAAGAAAAAAATGCTATGATTATATGTTTTATCATTTATCAACTTGGTTGCCGAAAATGTCATTTGAAGTCAGCACGATTGTGCTTGGAGAGACAACGTTGCACATGGTTGATTCTTAATTCTTTTCACAAGGTTATTTCTCCTAACGCCTTCTAGACCATTAGAGTGAGGTAATTGAGACTTTGTCGATGGAGAAACTCGTCAACACAGAGGGTACATGGGCACTTCAGACTTAAGATCACCTTAGGTTTGAGGTGTCTCTAGGGGCAGATGATTCTAAGACAACAACCCTGAAAAATGCAAAAGGGATTAACTGAATTTTATAATACTAACATGCTTGAAGTATAAGGAAAAGCTTAACAGCTTGTTGTTGTCGTCTTTGTAGGTATCTGGAAAATGGTATCAAATCATGTCAAAGGAGATGCCACCTTTCTCTAATGATTCCTTTCTGGACGACTTTGTGCTGAATATACAGAAGAAAGCTGGCGGAGGTTTGTCCATCGATATGCAAGGAAGACGGTAAGTTTGACAATTTAAAGACTATTATTAAATATGTGGAATATAAAATGCTATATATGGGATAGAGTAGAAATAAGAATTACTGTAAGTTTCCTCATAACAAAATGATCATATTTAGCGTTGAAAATAAACATACATTTTCATGGGCAGTGTTCTGGTAATTTTATACGTCACGTTCTTTTTTCATTCACGCCTTCCCTTTTTATAACACACTGAATGAAAAATACATTTTATTGTTTGGCAAACATAGTGATGCATCATCCGGCATTAAAGTGGTGCACGTTCGAAAAGACTGAATTAACATGTATCTAATGCAGTCATTTAAGTGCATATTTAAGTATTTAATGTCTCTCTTTAATACTGTAGAAGACGAGGCGATAACCAAAGATGTTTGAAAACTGGCCGTTTACACTTGGTCCCCACTCAAATGAACGGGAGGTATACAATGGATATAGGCAAGTCCCCTTTCACTGAGTTCTCTAATCATACTCAATACTGTTTCAACTTGACTTGCACTTCCGTAAAGATTGATATAACGGCCATTTTTATTATAAAAAAGATGAAAAAAATCTTATATTTCCTAGGTCCTGCAAACGACATCCTGGAAAACCACTTCACCACTGCTTTCGACAAGTCAGAGGTCAATGAGTACATTATAGCCGACACCGATTACGCCCACTTTTTGGTTACCAAATACTGCCTTGGGAAGAGGAAAGACGGGACGTGTTCCAAATTGGAGGGTGTGGCAATATCCAGTCGGAATCCTGTATTGGAGGCTGTCCACCTGTACAATGCCATGCAGGTGGTTGCCAAGGTGCTGTGTAGAAGTCTTGTGGGGTTTCTGAATCACGAGCAGTCAAATGGTATGGACATTACTTGAAGTTTTTTAGCACTCATTCGTTGTTATTTGAGCCTGTTTTGGTTTACAATCCAAGCATATGTGTTCATTATCAAATACAAGTTATGTTTTTTTGGTTTATTACCTATAACACGTTTTTATGACAGGGTTCAGGATCTAATAATCATAGACTTCTTTATTTTTTAATTGAACTTAAAATTATACATGTATTATCACCCAAGTATATAAACTAGTGTAATGTTATANCTTTATGGTTGATAAATTAAAATAATGCCTTTTGTTTAATGAAAATCTGTAATTAGGGATTGGGATTGTAGCGTATACACTAGTGGTCAACTCTGCCAATTTTCGTGATAAAATCTTGTTCAGGGATGAAGTTACGCCAATACCGATTGCTATCTTACTTCAAAATAGAAAGGTGTTAAATTGACAATTAAAGCTTCGAGTTGCCTATGCTAATACATTGCAAAAATAAATAAAAACGCCGATTTTTTAAATTTCTAGTTTTTTTATTGTTTTGAATCAGCACAAAGACAGGTGCATTATTTAATAATTTGCTGCAGGAAAAATCTAATTTTCGGTATATCGATGATAATAAAGGGTCACAATATCCTTAAGCTCGTATTTTTCACGCGAGTAACACAGCTGAAATGTGCACTAATCACATTATGTGTTCCACTTCCCCTTCCTTAATGTTCCTTGCTAAACCCATTCGGGGCTCTAAATTGTTTTCGACAACTGTCAAAGCAGAATGGAGAAAGATTAACATAGATTCCGTCTAACAAGAAAGTAACGCGTGATTTTATTGTCTCAGAAGTGCTTTTTTATGACTAATATTATACAAATCTCTAAGAGTTTTTTTTTGCTAAGTTGTAACCGCGATAATTTACATAATATGACTTCACATATGCCGAACTGCAGCAAACTGTCAATATAATTATAACTCACAAACTCTTTTTTGTGCACTTATTTATTTATCTATATCTAACATATGTGGGCTTACATGACAAATGTACAGTGGTAAATCTCAGAAAGGTCGACTGGCTTAATCGTTCTAAAATCCTCCAGTGTCTTATAGAACAAAAAAAAAAAAAAAAAAAAAAAAAATGTACCTAGCAAGTTAATAACCAAGAGTCTAAATGAAAATATCTTGTGACATAATTATTTTTTCTGTGGCCCTGGTAGGGGTAAAATAGGTGAGTGTCTGCTAAGATTTAACTGTGCATGCGTGTTGGGATATTAATAATACGATGTACGTGCCTTAGAGACCAAAAAATGTGCAGACCACATGTTAGTAATTCTTGGTGTACATAGCCTGCCGTATAAAATATTTTATAATGAATACACATGCATTATATTGAATACCCCTTATGCCCATTCCGTAGCAACTTCTCAAAAGAAAACGTGAGCATTTTTTCGTGGTTGTTAGGGGCTTAAAACTTTCTTTCTCTCCGCTTTTGGTTTAAAATTTGTTTGATTTCTTCGTGTTTATTGTGAACTGCTGGGGTATTATAATTCCATTTTGGACGATTTTATTTTCTAAGAATAACAGTTGACTTTGGTACAAACACAACGTGGTATCAAACCATACACGAAATGAAATATAAGGCAGTCAGACAGACACAAAGGTTTTCATCGGCTCTCCCTAAATACATTATCAGCAGACCATAGCGCATAAACTCAAAATTAAGAACATCACTGACTTTAAGGAAAGTCAGGACAGTTAGTATGGCTGCCTTAGTACTAGTAATTTTCTTTGCTATGACAGTCTCCGTCGTAGACGGGATAGTTGGATACCCAAAATCAGATCAACCGGGGGAGTTCATCCCAGGTACGACCGCCTTAATTTGGAGGTGGGACAGGCGCCGAGGATGGTACTGGTATCCCACAATGCCTATATCATCAAACCTGAATGAAACCAAGGTAGGTAAATGCCGTTAAAGATGTTCATACATGTAAATACCTAGAGCACTTTATACGCTAAAATGCCTTTTTTAAGATATAGATCTGCGCGTTGCAAAAAAAAAAAAAAAAGAAAAAAATGCTATGATTATATGTTTTATCATTTATCAACTTGGTTGCCGAAAATGTCATTTGAAGTCAGCACGATTGTGCTTGGAGAGACAACGTTGCACATGGTTGATTCTTAATTCTTTTCACAAGGTTATTTCTCCTAACGCCTTCTAGACCATTAGAGTGAGGTAATTCAGACTTTGTCGATGGAGAAACTCGTCAACACAGAGGGTACATGGGCACTTCAGACTTAAGATCACCTTAGGTTTGAGGTGTCTCTAGGGGCAGATGATTCTAAGACAACAACCCTGAAAAATGCAAAAGGGATTAACTGAATTTTATAATACTAACATGCTTGAAGTATAAGGAAAAGCTTAACAGCTTGTTGTTGTCGTCTTTGTAGGTATCTGGAAAATGGTATCAAATCATGTCAAAGGAGATGCCACCTTTCTCTAATGATTCCTTTCTGGACGACTTTGTGCTGAATATACAGAAGAAAGCTGGCGGAGGTGTGTCCATCGATATGCAAGGAAGACGGTTAGTTTGACAATTTAAAAACTATTATTAAATATGTGGAATAAAAAATGCTATATATGGGATAGAGTAGAAAGGGGAATTACTGTAAGTTTCCGCATAACAAAATGATCATATTTAGCGTTGAAAATAAACATACACTTTCATGGGCAGTGTTCTGGTCATTTTTATATGACACGTTCCATTCTTTTTGTTCAAACCCTTTTTTTAACACGTGGATGAAAAAATACATTTCATCTTTTAAACATAGTGATGTATTATTTGACATTAAAGTGGTGCCCGTTCCGTTCCTAAGGACATAATTAACATGTGTTTCAAACAGTCATTAAATTGCACATTTAAGTATTCAATGTCTCTTTATTACTGTAGAAAACGAGGCGATAACCAAAAATGTTTGGAAACTGGCCGTTTACACTTGGTCCCCACTCAAATGAACGGGAGGTATACAATGGATATAGGTAGGTTCCCTTATTTCGCTGAGTTTTCTAATTATACTTAATACTGTTTCAACTTGACTTGCATTTCCGTAAAGATTGATATAACGGCCATTTTTATTATAAAAAAGATGAAAAAAGTCTTATATTTCCTAGGTCCTGCAGACGACATCCTGGAAAACCACTTCACCACTGCTTTCGACAAGTCAGAGGTCAATGAGTACATTATAGCCGACACCGATTACGCCCACTTTTTGGTTACCAAATACTGCCTTGGGAAGAGGAAAGACGGGACGTGTTCCAAATTGGAGGGTGTGGCAATATCCAGTCGGAATCCTGCATTGGAGGCCATCCACCTGTACAATGCGATGCAAGTGGTAGCCAAGGTGCTGTGCAGAAGTCTTGTGGGGTTCCTGAATCACGAGCAGTCTAATGGTATGGACATTACTTGATGTTTTATTGGCACTCATTCATTAATATTTGGACCTAATATGTTTTACAATCCAAGCATATGCGTTCATTTACAAATGCAAATTATGTTGTTTTTTTACGTTTATTACCTATAACACGTTTTAACGAAATGGATCAGCATCTGATAATCATAGACTGCTTTTTTTTTAAATTGAACTTAAAATTATATTATTACCCAAGTATATAAACTAGTGTAATGTTCTATATATTATTAAGTCAAGAGAATTCAAGTTTTTAATGAATTAAGTTATAACCCGAAACAAGCATGGCAAAAAGTCCAGTAATTTTTTTTCAAATGATTCGTTTTGGTTGCAGCCTGTTTGTGAAGGACACTATACGCATGCACGCATTGTGAACCGGAGACCAAAAGTTGATTTGACTTGGGCTAGGAAATCAACAAGAACGAACACGTGGACAGCTAGGGCTACCTAGACCGAGACCGAGAGCATCTGTACACTGAATAATAACGATACCATTTATACTGTAATGCTATATAATTATTTGAACGACCTTGAAGAACAGTCCACTTTTTGTGTAGAAAGAGGCGTTTTTTTCTCTTTGGTCTTCCTCTCTACCACTGTACATGTATCTATACGATATACCCAATTTTTGAATAAAAACGTGTTTTATGAAATTGTGGATGACTATATTTATTGTCTGTATAACTGCTGCATTTCGCAATAAACGGCGAATTCACTATAGGCAGTGCTCTCTTAATATGACTATGACACAGCATCGTTCTGTCGGGAAAGTATCCATTTGGCAATGTTTCCAGTTTAAAAAAATTCCCAGATATGTAAATTAATTTTAATGGAGTCTCTTGCTTGTGCACTCGACTCGTTTTATGGCCCTACATGTAATTACATAACGCAGGCTTATGTGTGCAATTTGAGTAATTACGATTTGTATGCACCGAGCGAAAATGCAGCACTGGGTCCCTCTTTGATAAGAAATTGGGATATAAGCTTTGGGATTATGATCTAGGGACAGGAAGGGTTATACAGCGTGATCTTAGTGCGGGAAAAAGTACACACGCTGGACAATAGAAGTGTCACCCCCTGAACCAGAGTTGGTCTTTTTGTGAAGTTTGATGTTAATAAATTGATACCAGGAGCATATCATTCCACAGCCATTTATCTCCCCCAAAGTATTGGTTCAGTAGGGGTGACACTTCTATCCTCCAGTGTGTGTATATTGATTTTTTTTATTCGGGGGAATATTTCTTGGTTCCATGAAAATTCAGTTTTGATATGATGGCAGTTTCATATGCTTGTTAGGATTTTTCTAATATATGCTTTTTGCCACAATAATCTTACAAATATCTTGACTATTTTCTTATCCCTAAGAAGGATTAGTAAAATTAGAAAATTGCAATAAGATGTGTTTATTACAAAGCTGAAAGGGTCTTCCAAATAAATCATCAAACTTGGCATTGGTCTCCCAGTGGATTTGGTTTATTAAAGAAATTACATACATTGCCGCACATAAAACAGAAATTGAAAAGATGTAGAAAAAGACCATCTGATGTAGAAAAAGACTAACTGATCTACACAAAATAAGTTACGTACATTTGGTTTTGCCTCTCTTTAGAGTCACAATGGAAAGTAATATGCAACCGGCTTTGAGGCTCAATGCAGGTTATTTCTTGGTACCCTGTTCTCTGAGGTGGCACGCTGAAATAGGATAAAAACAAACATTTAGTGAAGATCATATACATATCAAATGAAAAGCAAGTGCAACTGCGAGTCAAACTGAAAGGAACGTAGTCTGCTTACAAATAAGCTATTAAAAACTATCAATGAAGTGTCAATACATGTACGAGTACCCAGAGTAAACATTTTGTTTGATTACTTCCTAGGGGAAGGCGAGTATGGCTTACATTCCTAAGATTCATCATATAATTGTGTACCATTTCATAAAAACATAATAAGATCATTCCATTTAATATTTGTAGCTATTAACATTTATTAAAACTTTTCCCTATGTCCATCCTATGATCATAGCAATTATTACCCTGACTTTCAATGTTCATGAACCCTTATGGCGGGANATATTTGCTCTTATATATCATTAAGCTATATCAAGAGAATTCGTGTTTTAATGTTATAATCCGAAACAAGCATGGCAAAAAGTCTAGTACTTTATTTTCAAATTATTCGTTTTGGTTGCAGCCTGTTTGTGAAGGACACGCATTGTGAACCGGAGACCAAAACTTGATTTGACTTAGGCTAGGGAATCAACACAAACGAACACGTGGACAGCAAGGGCTACCGAGACCGAGAGCATCTGTACACTGAACAATAAAGATATCATTTATACTGTAATGCTATATAATCATTTGAACGACCTTGAAGAACAGTCCACTTTCTGTGTAGAAAGAGACGTTTTTCTCTTTGGTCTTCCTCTCTTCCATTGTACATGTATCTCTACTATATACCCAATTTTTGAATAAAAACGTGTTTTATGAAATTGCGGATGACTATTTTTTTGTCTGTTTCACTGCTGCATTACGCAATAAACGGCGAATTCACCACAGGCAGTGCTCTCTTCATATGACTATGACACAGCATCGTTCTGTCGGCAAAGTATCCATTTGGCAATGTTTCCAGTTTAAAAAAATTCCCAGATATGTAAATTAATTTTAATGGAGTCTCTTGCTTGTGCACTCGACTCGTTTTATGGCCCTCCATGTAATTACATAACGCAGGCTTATGTGTGCAATTTGAGTAATTACGATTTGTATGCACCGAGCGAAAATGCAGCACTGGGTCCCTCTTTGATAAGAAATTAGGATATAAGCTTTGGGATTATGATCTAGGGACAGGAAGGGTTATACAGCGTGATCTTAGTGCGGGAAAAAGTACACACGCTGGACAATAGAAGTGACACCCCCTGAACCAGAGTAATCAAAGTTATAATGCCTGATCTACTTATAATGTGACTAATGAGTATAACACCGCTGTGCCATGGAATTGTGTTGTTGGTCTTTTTGTGAAGTTTGATGTTAATAAAATGATGCCAGGAGCATATCATTCCACAGCCATTTATCTCCCCCAAAGTATTGGTTCAGTAGGGGTGACAGTTCTATCCTCCAGTGTGTGTATATTGATTTTTTTTATTCGGGGGAATATTTCTTGGTTCCATGAAAATTCAGTTTTGATATGATGGCAGTTTCATATGCTTGTTAGGATTTTTCTAATATATGCTTTTTGCCACAATAATCTTACAAATATCTTGCCTATTTTCTTATCCCTAAGAAGGATTAGTAAAATTAAAAAATTGCAATAAGATGTGTTTATTACAAAGCTGAAAGAGTCTTCCAAATAAATCATCAAACTTGGCATTGGTCTCCCAGTGGATTTGGTTTATTAAAGAAATTACATACATTGCCGCACATAAAACAGAAATTGAAAAGATGTAGAAAAAGACCAACTGATGTAGAAAAAGACTAACTGATCTCCACAAAATAAGTTACGTACATTTGGTTTTGCCTCTCTTTAGAGTCACAATGGAAAGTAATATGCGGCTTTGAGGCTCAATGCAGGTTATTTCTTGGTACCCTGTTCTCTGAGGTGGCACGCTGAAATAGGATAAAAACAAACATTTAGTGAAGATCATATACATATCAAATGAAAAGCAAGTGCAACTGCGAGTCAAACTGAAAGGAACGTAGTCTGCTTACAAATAAGCTATTAAAAACTATCAATGAAGTGTCAATACATGTACCAGAGCAAACATTTTGGCTCTGTTCTCACAACTTTTAGATCGATCTATCACCGCGGGGAGTCTCACTAGATTACTGTCAGATAATCCGCCTTAAGTGTCCGTCCCCGCCTACTACAAGCTATAAGGGGTAATTAACTTTCGTGTCCGCCCGGCTGACAGCTATTTAGCGTGAACCCCCAGGGAGTTAGGTCGATCCAATGTAGGTCGATCTAATCTATGAGAATGGGGTGTTAGTTTGATTACTTCCTAGGGGAAGGCTTACATTCCTAAGATTCATCATATAATTGTGTACCATTTCATAAAAACATAATAAGATCATTCCATTTTACATTATTTAATATTTGTAGCTATTAACATTTATTAAAACTTTCCCCTATGGCCATCCTATGATCATAGCAATTATTACCCTGACTTTCAATGTTCATGAACCCTTATGGTGGGAACATACAGGATTCCTTCAGATGCCCAAAGGGAAAGATATTTACCGTATTCGTGTTCCGAGAAACGGAACCCTTCAAAAGATTTACACAGTCGTTGGTCAATCGTCTTCATTGCGGAGTACACGTAAGTAGGCTCAAGGTACACACGGCGACTCCAGAGTTGGATCGTTTCCGTCTGACAACTCCCAGTAACATCTTCACCTTGGCAGATGACGACCAGCAAATAGTTTGTGTAGTCCGTGTCAATTATCTTAAAGTTGTTGTTACCTGTAAAGGTATGAGAAAAAGGGGTTTGTGCCTTGAAAGATAAAATGTGGAAGATGGACCTGAGTTTTAACTTAAAAGTTTGAATAATTAACGGCCAACCAATGTGCTTCCCAATTTTTTAAAAGGCCACCTATTTCATCTCCCCTCTTCCTTTTGAATGGAATTGAACATTTTAGACAATGTACTAATTGTTTTGGTAATTATAAGTACTTTTTTTTACTTTTAATCGTTGTCCAACTCGGGATGCTAGTCACAATTTTTAGCGAGACGTCCCAGTATCAATTTCTCACAGGCGGTATCTATCCCATTAAATTAGTCTTACCCATGCAAGCCCACCATTTATATTTATGTAGTTCTGTGAACTAAAACTAAGGTATCTACGTTAATGATGCTATGGTGTATGTATGTGTGTGTGTGTGTATGAGAGAGAGAGAGACAGAGAGAGAGAGAGAGTTTATGGCAATAAACATGTACCGGGTACATAGTGTAAACTTTAAAGGTATGACACGTTTTTAATGAGTAATATATAAATGAGAGGTTTTTTTTGGATAAATAATGAAAAAGAGCTCACTCTCCGATGAGCCAAATGAGAATATTCCCTGTTGCCTTGTAGGTTCCAGTCTAGACAGATCATTTAGCTCTACGCATCCTTGGGCTCCTATCCTAAAATGAGGAAATCATTATGGTATTAGTATACCGCATACGCATTTCTATGCATTTTTAAACTGCCGTTGCTTCAAACTACAAAACATGCAGATACACCTTTAATCGTATTTGTTAGCATAATAAACTCATAACAAAATGAAATAGAACAGATGTCCTTTGATTTTATCTAAGTAAATGACCAAATATTAATTTTATTATCTACAAAAAAGCTTTATTAACTAAAGTAATTATGACGGTTAAAATACTATACACGTTTTGCGGTGATATAAGCATTTGTTTGTTGAGATGTCCTGTTGAAAACAAATGCACAACTTAATAACATATATGCTTTAATAAGAACGTGCACATCCCTCATTATGCCCGAGCTCTAGTTATAAAATTCATAGTTTCGTTGCATTTTTTTTTACCTGAAAGTGTTATGCTTTGCTTTATTTTTTACAAAAAAGGAAAAAAAAACGGTCAGCTTACAGTACGTAAATTATGCTAACATTAAGAGAGGATTTGGTGTAGATAAGCAAATTTGTTTAAAGTTTATATTAATGTAATGTTGTTGTCGTATCATCATCGTATCATATCATTAACGTCAGTTCATTATTACTATTGTAATATGCGTATACAATGTACGGTTGAATGAACATGTGTGCGTGTGTGTCAATGTGTGCGTGTGTGTGTGCGCGCGTGTGTGTGTGTGTGTGTGTGTAAGCGTGTGTGTGTTATCATACTGATATACCGCACGTACGGCAAGCCTTTGATAGGGAAGGCCCATGTCCCGTTTTCACCAATGGTCACGTAGGCGGCGTATTCAGTTAAAACATCCTCGTCCTTAACCATGGGGTTCTGTCGCCAAAGATAACAATACCAGATACCTTGAAGCTAGAAATATAATATTTTAATATTTTAAAATGATAAGCAAGTACCTGGTATAAGATTTCAGAGGTCCATTATTATTATTATTATCTATTAAATAATTTTGTGCAGTTATATATAAATTATCATTGTATATACACAGTCATAGTAATTTTAATTACTAAAAATTTTTAAAAATTATAATATTGAGGACAGTTTTCACCGAAGATGATTATACTAGTTCCAGTAAATGTTAGACAACAGCCCTAAAAAGAATAAACGGGTATTAACTGAATTATTTAATACTGATTACAAACGTGCTTGAAGTATAGGAAAAGCTACTTTTATAGAAGTAATGGTTATTTATATATGATGTTATCATATGAACTGCCAATTCATCTCAAAATAGTCCCTGCATCGAAGCATACACGTACTTTAGTTACATTCAGGTGTTGTAATGCAGGTGTTCTGGTATTTCTATACCCCCATCCTATCAGTCGGCTCCATCCCCACGGCACGGCCACTGCACCTGGGTCAAGTCTTCCAGGCCTGCCTAACCCAGGGTATCCCAATCCCCCGTCTACGGCAAGGATTTTCATCGCGAAGAAAACGGCGTATATAAAGACAGCCATGCTAGGAGTTGTGGCTTGACCAACCAGAGCGAAGTACTAGATACTTCGTTTATGTGTTTTGGTCTGCTGGCTTTAATTTGAGGTCAACACATGGAAATATATGCATTTATCCCAATCCATTTGGAATATTTTTTGATTTCTCATTTAATTGCTTTGTTGTATCAATGTATACAAGATATGTTTGCTACACGTGTACATTGAAAAAAAGGCACCATTTACTAATTTTGTCTATGATAAAAAGAACCGTGTTTGCTTGATTAAAACATAAATAGCTTTATGCCTCACACTACCCCACGGAATTCCTATTTCTATTTCTATTTCATCATTAGAAAAAAAATAATGAAGAGAAAACCTTAACTATTATCTGTTTAATGAGCATGCTTTTTATTATTTTGTGAGGATCAAGTAACTCACGATTTAGGAACACATGCTTCTCACGTTTCATTGGTACACTACAGTTTGTGAACCACAGTAGTAGTACTGTAACGCGCACGAGCTCTTATGTCCTAGAAGTTTGGCGGCTATGACTTCGGTTAAAACAAGGCATTACACGTACATTTGAAGAAACTTTAAGTTCCATGTTTAAGTGTGTTAGAGAGGCAATTCAGCAATTATGGCTTCACAAGATATCAGGTACACTCGTGATTCAAAAGCGTAAATACTATGAAACATGTGGAAACTTGATGCCCATTCTTTTATAATTCTGATATAACAGTCAATTGTCGGGAAAAAAAACTTGATATGCCGGGTACATATCTACCTGACTGACTTCTGACTTAGGGATGGCAATTTCCCCCTCTAAACCCCTCTCTTCTCTGCAGCCCACTACGATGTCATTCAGCCTTTATGTTTGTTAAGGCCCCTTTACACTGGACGGCGTCCTTTCTGCGTCCACGTAGTGCGGCCCCGTTTGAGAATAAGAAATAAGAATACTTTACGTGCCGACAACTGGCTGATCATTGAGGATTAACTTTGCATCCAAAGCGATGCTTGCGCCTCCTTTTGATGACATATCTACCTGGCTGACTTCTGACTTAGGGATAGCAATTTCCCCCTCTAAACCCCTCTCGTCTCTGCAGCCCACTACGATGTCATTTAGCCCTTATGTTTGTTAAGGCCCCTTTACACTGGACGGCGTCCTTTCTGCGTCCACGTAGTGCGGCCCCGTTTGAGAATAAGAAATAAGAATACTTTACGTGCCGACAACTGGCTGATCATTGAGGATTAACTTAGCATCCAAAGCGATGCTTGCGCCTCCTTTTGATGACCACAGGGATGCCAGTTTCATGGTAGCACAAAGGACACAGAACGGACGCCGTCCAGTGTAAAGGGGGTTTAAAGCGTTGACATTAGACGACAGGTCTTTAGTGAAATGATATACTATGTAAGGTTAGCAGTGATAAAATTTGCTGTATGTTGTCCCAAATCTGAACTTGAACTGTTGACGTGTAACGTACCTTGATGTGCTTGTGATGTGTCATTTATATAGCCTTATATCTAGTAGACTTTCATCCACTAATTTATTGCTTATTACGGCTGAACGCAACACAAGTTTATGACATATTGAAGCCTTCTGCACTATTTTTTTCACCAAGACATCAAACACTAAACCGCATTGTACTTCGCTGAATGCAGGCTGTTGTCGGTTGGTGTGTTTTACGTACTTGTTCTTCACCACAGCGTTCCTGATACCACACAGAAGAGTAACGTACAGTTAACAAACAAGTTACGGTATAGTTAATGATTGAATATGAGTAACTGGACGCGCGCTGTTTTCTTTGCTGTCCTTCTGGGTCACGTGGGAGGAGGGTTTTGGTCGATATGTCCATATGGAATCTTCCCCTGGCTTTGGAAAACCCCAGAAAGATGCGCAGAACCCAGGGGGATGAGGAACCTGGACATAGCCAAGGTGAGCCTTCTTTTAGAGCAAAAATACACTGTACATAGAAGGGGTATGCGCCAAGGCTGTTTCAATATTAATGAAATATTGTAGATGGGCCTTATGTACGTGTAAACCGCCCGCATGTACTTGTACGTACTGGTACCCTGTGATTCAGAGGATATTACTGTTAGGGGGGCACCTGTCTCTACAGCAGAAGGGGTCGATAGTTAAGGCGAGTTCTCATTGTCCCCAGAGGGTGTCACTGGAAACAGTATACTTAGAGAGATGCAAAGAGTGGTCGGGTGAGGTAAAAAAAGCCTCTGAAACTCAGGGTGTTACTTGAAACGGCAGAGAGATGCGAAGATTAGACAGGTGAGTTGTCGGTGTCCTCTGCCCGTAGCTAATAAATGTGACCTACGCGAGGTACAGCTGACTGCATAAACAACGTGAAATTGGGTCAGTAACATCGCACAAGGAAAGTAGGTTATCAGGATGAAAATAAAAATAAATAAATTACTATGCATGTACTCGTGTTAATTAGGTTCAGCATTCGGTTCGCCGATCAACAAGAAGCAATCAACTACTATCCCTCTCAGCACTTGGATTCGATTTTGATATTTAAATTTATAAAGGATGATTTAGTTTAAAATGACTGGTCAGTCATTAGAACCATCGACTATTTTCCTAAGCTCTAATGGAAGTATCAACATCAGGTACGCTCCAGAAAAAAATATTCAAGGGGTCAAATCGTTTTTTATGCTTACAGAACATTACATATGTAATGTTCTGTAAGAACCTGTGGATGGCAAAAATAAACATTTGTGGGATTTCCAAACCCAAGGAGTGTACCTTAAATGTGTTAATTTACACACAAGATATTCAAGATGTTTTTATACTGGTTTCACAGCTAACTGGTGTGTGGTATGAAATAACCTTCGTGATCGACCCTCCAGTGGCACCAGAACTGATTTTTACGGATTTTTATTTGGATATTCAGCAGAATGAAGACGGGACCTTGTCAATTAAGATGGAAGGAAGGCCGTACGTTTTTTTTTCATATTTTTTAAAAATATAATTTCATTTAAAAGAAGAAGAAAAACATTATGAAATAAGATTATTAATTAGAAATTAGATAACTGAGACAACGATAAACTTTCAACCAGTATCTCGGAATCAAAAATTCAAAATTCAGATTCAAAATCAATCGCACAATTCATTTATATTACACCAGGCTTCCCATATACTGGATGTGCACATCTCATGTGCATTAGTCCTACATCAAACAGAATAATTTAGGTATTAATCATACACGTGTTTAATGTCCATTTTAGACAAAATGCCAACCACACCGACTGTACAACAGTGAGTGGTTTTGAGCGCCTGGTTCCAACTGCCAGAAGTGGAGAATACGCTTTTAGTGAGTTGGATTTCTTACTTGTTTTTAGGTTTCAATATTTATGAACAGTTTAATTAAAAGATTTTTAAAAATATGCTAATTAAACTGTTCATGAATCTTGTTTCTTTTGTTCCATAAAATGAAACTCAGTTTTGACATTTAATTAAAATACACGTCAAAAATAAATTAAAAAATAAATAAATAACTAAAAATAAAAAATAAAAATAAATGAATAAATGAAAAAAAGAAACAATTATAATAGCACGGCAAATTCACTATCAAAAACCATGTACAGTTTCGAAACAGGATATTAGTATTTTGCTTACAACTCGATTCGCACACGTCGTGCTTGTGAAAACAAGCCATAAAAAACAGACAGAATGAACCGCATTAAATCAAAAAGCCATTCTTTTTTTTTTAATGAACAGTCTTCCAAAATGAATCGTCTGGCGACATTACCTTCGACGAGCACATTGGTGTACCCCTTGAAGACGCCGAGAGCAACGTATACATGATTTTGGACACTGACTACACACATTATTTGGTGAACCGATTCTGCCTCGGAAAACAAGCCGACGGGTTGTGTTCAAAAGAGGAAAGCTTCCTCATATACAGCCGCCGCCCCACTTTGGCACCGGTCTTCCTCAAGAAAGCCAAGAAGTTGATAACGAAGGACCTTTGTAATTCTCCCAAAGGCTTTGTTATCGTTGAACACTCAAAAGGTTGGTACAGCCACTTCCGTAGGGCATTTCCAGTCAGGGTCGAACTTTATAAGCAATATTTAGGCCTACTAAATAATAATAATAATAATAATAATAATAATAATAATAATAATAATAATAATAAAGAAACAGGTAAATGAATAAATAAATATACGAGTTCAATTTGACTTTGTGCCTAGAACACCCCAGGAAAATTCACATTTTTAAACTGGGTGGCTCTCAGACTTACAGTGCAAGTTTATTTACACTGTTGACACTTTTGACTTCCATAAATGTTGACTGCATTATTTACATCAAATAATATTTTTTGCAGCATGTGCATGAAGAAGACCATGCATGCGAACATCCATCACCGGAAGTGTTCAAGAATGCTGCTAACATACTACATCTAACAATACCAGTTTATCTTTTATTCCATATGAAGAGGAAACATCTCCATGATATTGCTTAGATGAATTTCAGAACTGTAACTTTAATGCATTTTAAATAGTTTATTTACTTGTATGCGTCTATATAAATTTTACGTAAAACCATGATTTAGAAAGTACTGATAAATAAATGCAGTTACCTTGTCTAAAAGGTACACAGATATGCTAACATTTATTACTGGTATAAAAATATTAATCAGTAAAAATTAATGATCAATAAACACCAGCATGATGGTACTAACATCTTTTAATAAAGATTTATCCAAATACATTTAACGACATTCAAAGAACTATCATGTAAAATTGTGTAATGAACCTTTTTAAACATATGTTAAGAATGTACTTAACTTTTGTAAATTAAGCACGCTTAATTCAAGCGTGGACCCGAAACAGGACATTACGTTTTCGACTTACTTAGTGGATAACGCAAACACGGTTCGTGTCAGATTTATATAAGGTCGCACAAAGAACCCCCCCCCCCCCAAGTCCACATAATACCCAGTAAAACGATTTACTCGACGACGCTCGGTAGCTACATATGAGTATGTCTCCATGCAACTCCTCTTTTTGATCTTTTATGTCGGACACATTATTTCTGTTGAATTATCAAACCTTCATTAGATTCATGAAAACATTTCATTTTCTACCCATTCATCCATCCATCTATTAATGAAGAAGGAAGATATTCTCTGATTATGGTAATCCATTGATAAGTGAAAAATAGCAACAAGTTCAATAATCCATTTATTCAAACAATGATTGGGCAATTCCAATAATGGCCAATGTGATAATAAATTAATTATTAATTTTTCTGGTTAGTTAGTACTGAAATTATTAATTATATTGGTAAAACTAAAATATGACACATAAGTTATTTCAGTATTACACAGTTATAAAAAAAAACAAAGGTATGTCTCCCAAATCAAAATCACAGCACATCAATATCACAAATGTTATGAGACTTTCATGATTTTTCAATAACTTCAAAGATATCCACTATTAACAAAAATTAACAATAAAAACGGGATTCTAAAAATTACTCTCCTTCAAGCTAAAAAGGCTAAGATTACAAAATTATGCTAATAACAATTATTATAACAGTATAAAGAAAAGAATTACAGATGTTACAATTCAGAATCTGCATTTACCTTCTTTATGAAACTCTTCTAAAAATTACTCTCATTCAAGTTAAGAAGCTATGCTAAGATTTCAAACTAATGGTAACAGTTAATATTATAACAGTAAAAAATGTTAGGATTCAGAATCTGCATTGCGTTCTTTATGAAACTCTTCTGCTTTCTCAACAAACTTCCAGATATCTGCAGCCAACAACTGTGGTTCCTCAAAGGCTGCAAAATGGCCGCCAGTAGGCATGTTGGTATAGTGGATGAGGTGTTTGGCACTGGTGGCGAACTGAGGAGGAGGACAGCCCAGAGCTATTTCATGGGGAAAACATGCTACACCTGTCGGTACACGTATTTTGTACCTGAGTAAAAAGTAAAAATTCGTCAAAAGAATATATATATATATATATATATATATATATATATATATATATATATAATTTTGGAACAATGTTTTCAAAGTGCATAAATAATTTAATCTGACTCCAAATTTTCATATATTTTTTTGGCATAAAATTTAAGTAAAATGGCACTTTTTAAAGTTTAGCATTTTGAGAAAAAGTAAGTAAATAAATACAACAACTGTCAAATTATTTTTTCTTTGAAAGAAGCAAAAATAAATTGAAACAATAAATAAATAAATAAATAAATAAATACATAAATAAATACCTGTCCAAATCCTCATCAAAAGACATCTCCTTGTAGAACCTCATGGAAGATGTGATGGTCTTAGTGGTCCAGTAGATCATCACATTGGTCAGTAGCTCATCTAGGGTAAACTTCTTTGTCAGACCACCATCAGGAAGGTCTCGGTACCCAGGGTTGGTCCAGGTGGAGAACTTCTCTAAGATGTATGCCGCAAGACCTACTGGAGAATCTGTGAGGGCGGTTCCTAAATATAACAGAATATCATATATCATTATCCTTAAAGACTATTCTAGGTTGGTCCAATGATATGTTTGTAAATGTTCATTAATTAAGTCACTTATGATTTTTCTGTTATCCCAATGAATGTATGTAAGGCTGTAAATAAGGAGTTTTTGGCAAAGGCTAAGAAAATACTTAAAGACAGTATGGGGGAGGGGGGTATCCAAGATATATGTGACAAGACCTACTGGGGAATCTGTATGGCCATTCCTAAATATAACAGAAAATCATATTTCATCATTAACATCATTAAATACCAATTGGAGGGGAGTCATCTTTGACACATACTGCAAGACCTACTGGGGAATATAATTATTATTATTTACTTCATCCATAATAACACTCCTAAGACTCACCCACAGTGTCAGGCTTGGTATGCTGAAGTAGGAAATAGCCTGCCTCATTGATGAGGTACACTAACTTATCCCAGATAGGGCTGATCTTTGGTATATCCTGCTCGTCCAAAATTGCAGATGGCGCCACTGCAGCAAGAAGTAACTTCAGGGGTGTTTTTGTATCCTGGTCCATTTGGAAGAAATTGGAATGCAAGCCTAGCACTGACCTGGCAAAATGTTTAATGATAAATATAATAATTTACAAATTTTAAAGGGAACTTCTCTCTAAAGGGATAAATTCATCATGATAAATATAATAATTTACAAATTACTAATTTTAAAGAGAACTAGTGTTTAAAGGGATAAATTTATCATGTTGAACTGATCTGCATAATGTATATCAATATAATTGTTTTCATATTTTAAACAGAAATACTTTTTCAAGGGATATATTCATCACACTGCTCAGGATTTTTTTTCATTCATTCACTACAAGCAAAATAGTAATAAAAATACAAATGATAATAATTCACTGTATGGATTCGAAAAAGTTTTGCAAGTTCTTGCAGTATTCAGTTGAAGCAGTACACACTGTGACTATGGTGATATATGCTTTATTTGGTTTAAGGGGAGTTTTTCAGTGAGATGAATGTACTATTCTCTCAGTATGTACGTCAAATAACACACTGCCACCCTCTCAAGATATGTGAATTGAACACAGCACTAAGGTTTAAGAAAAGAAGTTAAAATCAACCACCACCCCCAGGGTCAGCCCAACCCCCTGTTACATTATGAATGTGTACCAAAATGCCCATGCACATCCCTGATGACAGGTCTAATGATCAGCAAAATTTCAGCTTCCTAACTCTATGGTCTAGGAGTAAAAAGCTTAAAATACAGTGTGAAATGAATTTAGAATCCCCCCCCCCCCCCGGGGGACAGCTCAACCCCCAGACATAATAAAGTAAAGTTCTGAAGTGTCCTTGCACATCCATGATGACAGCTCTACCAATCACCAAAGTTTCAACTTCCAAACTACATTTCTTGCAGGAGTTCACAGCAAAAACAATGTGAAATGAGTTAGGAATCAACTCCCCCTCCCTTCCCCCTGTTGCACTCAAATTCTGAAATGCCCATACACATTCCTGACAATAGGTCTATTAAACCCCTAAGTTTCATCTTTCAAACTCTAGTGACAAGGAGTTAGCAGTAATTACTAAGGCACAGACTCCCAATGGGCAAGATAACATGGTCCCCTACTTTTATCCCAAAAGTGAAGGGATAATAATAATAATAATAATAATTATAATAATAATAATAATAATATAGTAATACAACTTACTGAGGATATAAGATAGACATAAACCGAGTAATGACTGCTCCCCAGTCTCCTCCCTGTACATAGTAAGACTTGTGTCCCAGACGCGTCATCAGCTTGTGGAATACCCTTGCTGCTGCTACCTGATTAAAGCCTAGTGAAGGAATGTAACATGTTTAAATGGCAGATCATAAGCATATAAACCACATCTTGATTAGAGCTTAATTGAGCACAGGTTAGCAATATGTGTTGATCACAGATATATCTTAACAGATAAATTCTGTGAAATAATGTCACAAAATTAAAATTATTTAGTTCACCACCTCCTGATGCTACCATGCAATCATTTTCAGGTAACTCTCTGAACACAATTTAAATAAATCATGTCCACTCTGGAAATCAGTGGCAAAAATGAGCTCGAAGGCATGGGAGAATTTGAAAGACCCATGTTTCAAATTGGCTCAAGAACTCTTCAATTTTAATGCCTTCTAGTTACAGATCTGGGACATATAATGATAGAAATAAATAGCCATTCACCTTGCTTGTTAGGAGCTTCTGAGAGGCCATATCCCGGGATAGATGGTAGCACCAGTTCAAAGACAAGCCCATTTTGAGGTTTGGTTAGCAGTGGGATCATCTTGTAAAACTCATAAAATGACCCTGGCCATCCATGAACCAGCAAAAGGGGGCGAACAACAACATCTGAAAGAAGAAAAATTTTGAAAAAATTAATAAAAAATATTGTTTACTTGCAGAACATTTTATGCATATGTGCTTATAAGTTTTAACAGCATGAATAAAGAGTTTCAAAAAAATATATGATAACTATTATGTTGATATCTTGATGATAAATAATATTACTTGTGTTCATTCACAATTTCAGAGATGGCTATTATGATGACGTGTACCGTGTACAGTAATTACAATAGATTAAATATTTTTAAACAAATTTCTTTTTTTTTTAAAGTTTAATCTAAGGAAAGTAAAACTGAAAAAAAAAATGCTTAATTAAATGTCTGTTGTGCCTCCACATTTAATTTCTTTTAAATAATTTGACCTTTATCTTTGACATCAGGTTTGATGTGTACAAAGTGGACAAATATCCCCTCAATCTGAGTCTTGTAGTGCTGGTATTCATTTAGCTTCTGTTCTGTTTTTCTCCAGTCATATTCCTCTCTCCAGTACTTGACAACCTGGAAGAAAATATAATAGAATGGTAGATGATAGAAAATCAATCAATAAATACATTAATTAATGGAGAATGAAAGAATGAAAGAGCAAATAAACAAGTTCATAAAATTACAAAATTTTAACAATAAATTCACAAATTAACAGTCGAATTCATACAAAATCTTGATGGCATAATTACTTTTCTTATTGTAGTACTTTTAAAGATATAATTCTCAATTTATGGCTATTTTATACAAAAAAAAAAAAAAAAAAAAAAAAAAAAAATTAAAAAGTATTTCGGAATGTTCACAGAGCATCAATTGAGACTGAATGAAATTGAATATTTTGATATTGTACTAGTAATTAAAATTAAAGAGATAACAACTCTTCATTTTAGTAGGCATAGTGCCATAAAAAGGGTTTAAACTGTGCTGTTCTCATACATACTTATGATGAATGAATCCTTACCAGCATTGAAAGTTAGTCATTTATCTAAGTGTGCCTATTTATAAAACCTCCCAAGAGATTATAACAGAGGGTAGCCATCTATAAAAGTCCACATGGTCTGATGGCAAGCACAGATTTCAGAATTATTGTGAAAAGCCATGTTTTGATGAAAAATGGAATGTATAACATTTCTATGTGTTCTTTTTAATGCGTTTATTGTGGAAGTTTGAATCTCATATGAAAAGTTGTTATAACTTTAAAACTGAGGGGCTGATGGTGATGGTGGTGGTGATGGTGTGTGCGTAGGGGTGGGCAATCTGAGAGTTGAATTTATCATTATCTGTGGGTTATCTTACCTCTTTCATATAGTCCACATTAAAGCCGTAACGGAAATTGGCACCTTCCAAACCGTCAAAGTACCTTGTCTTGCTCAGCCTCTGTTTCAAGTCATCGAGTATCACATCTGACACCATTATCTTGATACCTTTTAAGGTCGGGTCATCTTCTTTCTTCTTTTCGCCTTTTCCCCACCAACCATCTGGAATCTCTGGGGGGTCAGGGTCGCTGTCATAGAAACCTGTCAACAAAAGGGTGGTTGCTATGGAAACAGCAATGGGGATCACTACACAACAGCAGCACAACCCACGCTTCATCCTGAAATAGAGGAGTGACTCTTAAAGCCAGCCAATAAAAAGTATAATACAGAGTAAGAACTGGGACTCTTGTATCTCTTGGTGTTACTCTGATGGTAAAATAGTAACTGGTGAATACCTATATGTACTTTGAATTTGAGAGAGACTTAAAACACCTGACATTACATCTTAAAAATCTCGTGGTGATACTGCTTTAATTTACTGACTGTCATGAAGAAGTGACTAGACAAGCTAATTAATTAATTATTGCTCAATTTATACCTGTGTCTATACTAGTATGCATACAGAGATTAGCTTATTTATATTCAGATACTGAAGCATTACTGGTGCGATGTACCCAGTAATAGTACTATACTAAGTACATGTAAAAGTGCTTGTATAATTCTTGTACCATTAAATTTGACAAATTCTATTTTACACCAGCATTGTTATGAACTAGGGCTGTGTCACTACCTTGTGTGGCAGGTGATACTGTCCCCTGAATGCTGCTGGCCTGACTGATCTGATAGCAGTTCAGTGTGGTATTTTACTGATATTTGGGTAACATGTTCCCTACGTAAATTTTTTAAATTTTCTTTTTTTTGCCTCACCCCATCTCTGACCCAAATAATCAGCCATGGGCACTCTGATTAATTTTTTTATACAGTTGAGCTGAGAAAGAATGGGGCTTTACCAAAAGTAACAATTTTAACAACTTAATCGGTTACTTTTTAATAACGTACGCCATCTCTCTGACTCTATTTTAAATGGATTGTGTAACATGAACACAATGCATGTTTGTTCGCTGCGTTATCAACAGACAATGTTTTGGTGATTCATTTGCAACATGGGGTGTTATCTCCTGTCTAAACAGACTGTGACCACACTGGTGTCAGCTCTAGTAACAAAAGGTAACAAACAGATAACAATATAGAGCGTTCTTTCTGAGCTCAATTGTATATTTATAAATACCCACATAAAGATAAAGCTATATTACTAGTATCTGTATTTGCATGCACACTCAGCATAATCAGAAAACCAGAAGCCACACCCTAATCAAACATGCATTGAGCAGACACCACACACACACATTCCCGCCTTAGTTGCTTGATCAGTTTTAAGAACGTGTCCTTATAAATACAATTTGAAATTCAAGCACGAAAATGTATGCGTTAATTTGCAATTTCTATTTACTTATCTGCATATCGGAGACCGCATACAGAAATGATAAAGCATTTAATCCCGTGCTAATGCAGAGAGAAAGTCAAAAAGTAAGGCCATGACTATAAGTTTTATCACCTGAAGGCTGTACAAATACAAATGCACTAGTGTATAAGTGTAAATGTACATGTACTAGTAGTACTGTGAGAGCGGTAGTAGCACCTACCTATTGCATTCACTGTACGACTCTGTCTACGTGCTCACCTTCAGTTCCCTACACGGTTTAATGTCCCTTTTATTTAGATTTGCAGCATGTTATATATAATCGCTGATAAAGACGTTATGTCAGCCCGACTGTGAGAATTTCAATTACCCCGGGTTAATGTGTGGGTCGAGTATCAATGCGACCTTCAAACCGGAAGTTTATGTTTAAGCTAGTTCCCCGCTGTCGTGATTGGTTCTGTGATGCAGGGTCACCGTAATAACCTCATACCGCGTCACTTAAGGACAACAAAACATATTAAACAAATCAGGCAAAATGGAATGTTTACTCAGTGCCATTTTTTAAAGATTGTTTTCAAGGGTGTGTATGAGGCCGTGTGTTTATTTTTCTTTTGTGTCGGCCTACAACGTTAACGTACCCAGCGGTGATGCCGTCAGTGGCGGATTTTAAGAGGGGGGGGGGAGCGTTTCTAAATATTATATCTCACCAATATTCCCCTCTTGAAATTAGAATTTTTATTATAGTTCTAAATTATAGTTCTAAACCACTCTCCAAAACATCAAAAAAATCTCGGGGTCCTCGAGCAGAACCCCACACCAACGAAGGGAGCGATGGTCGGTTTTGCATCAGAGGCCTGTCGTTCCGGACTCCCCCCTCAAATAATCCTGGATCCGCCCCTGCTAGTTAGCAGAGTAGTCTGTGGTTAAATAAATCAGATTTTAATTTACATGTACGGGGGGTGGGGGGGGGGGGTTACGTGCCCTAGTGCTGATACACTAGTTTATATCACAGATGCGTTTTGTATTTAAAATAAAATGAAATATAATAAAATACAAATTAATTGATTAATAAAACGTTATTTTATTAAATATAATAATCCTGTTTCCAGAAAGGGGCATTTTAAAAACATGCTTATAATTGTATTAGTCCACATTGCTTCCGGTTTAATTTGAGCAAATGTTCTTTGGCGTAGCAAATGTTCTTTGGCGTTAACAATAGGCCCTACAGATATTTTAATCCAATCATGAGCAGGCCTAGTTACGTGATACTAAAAATAAAACATGTCGGAAAATACCAGGTCAATACATATTCTATTTCATGTGGGTTTTTCCGTTTCGTATTTGACAGACAAAAGGCTTGTTTTAGCCATACCGGGTATATAAGTTTAGTACATGTAAAAGTCATCAGACAAGGAAAACGGGATAGACAGCGACAGTCGATCTTAACAGTAGGCCTACGTAAACCGACACGTCCACTGTAAGTACATATTTTGGTGTATATATATATATATATA